GGTATTTTAGAGTTTTTATTTTTAAATTATATCTACTTAAAACGGTTTTAAAATAGGGTTTGACTTCTGTCCAGTTCTTAATCGGATTGGACCGTATTGTTGGGTTCGTAAAGGTCCACTACGGGTCCCGTTTTGATAATCTGAACCGTTTAATGTATAGAACTCGTCAAGTATTATAAATTTATAAAAAAATCACGTTAATCGGATATCGGTAACTATGTGATCAAATCAGTTTTGTATAAAAAAAAAATAGACAGTGAATAAATTAACGGTTGACAAAAATCTGATTTGATCACATAGCTACCGATATCCGATTAACGTGATTTTTTACAGACTTATAGTAATCGACGAGTTCTACACATTGACAGTTTAAATTATCAAAACGAAACCCGTGGTGGACCCCCACGAGCCCAACAGCACGGTCCAGTCCTTACTGGACATAAGCCAACACCTTTAAAATATTGCAAATAACTAGGGCTGGGCAACAAACCCACCCGCCCGCACAAACTGCCCGACCCTACCCTACCCGCAGTGCTTTGGGCGGTTTCGATGTAGGTAGGCGGGCGGGTGCGGGTCAAGAAATTGGCAAAAGATCGAGTTCGGGTCGAACCCGACCCGCCCGCAACCCGCATCTTTTTCTTTTTTTTTTTTTCTTTTTTTTTTTTAAAGAAAAAATAACTAGTTATTATTATTATTTTTTGCATTTTGGATGGATGGAGATAACTAGTTATTATTTTTATTTTTACATTTTGGATGAAAGTAAAATTTATTATATGGGCACTTATATACATTATCATGATCTAATGATATTTAAATTAGTGTTACTAGTTTGACTTTTATTTATACATATAAAAAAAAAAATTCATTATATTCCATTAGTCTAGTAGACACAGTTAAATATGATATTTTGAATTGTCATTCTATTATCACATTATTGCATATTAAAAGCTAAACAGTGAAGATTAATTCACTATTAAAATTAGTGTTACTAGTTTGACTTTTGAGGGTTTGTTTTTGCATATTTAAATTAGTGTTACTAGTTTGATTTTTAAGGGTTTGTTTTTGCAAGCTAAGGAGGAAGATTAATTACTATCCTCAAGCATGGTTCCATATCATCTTATCTAACATGTGGACTATTTATTATGATCATGAATTGTATATCTTGTAATTTAATTTATAACTCTTCTAAAAAAAAAAAAGTGTTTAGAAAGTAACAAAAAATGTCAAATTTGCTTAAGTTTAAAAAAAAAAAAAAAACTAAACCGCAAACCGAACCGCACCCGCCCGCACAAACCGCGAACCGCATCGCGGGCGGTTGCGGGTCCATTTTTCCCCAACCGCATAAGTGCGGGTCGGGTCAGTTTTGACCCGCACCGACCAAAACCGACCCGCGAGCAGCCCTACAAATAACTATGCATAGCTAATGTCTTTATTTGTTGGATTAATTTATTGGCGTCAGGTATACAATAAAATATGAAGATTTGAATTAAATTATAACTAGCCGTTAATTTGTGCAGTGTTATTTTTTTTTAAAAAACATTTCATGATATAATATGCGTTATAAAAAATAATCTTAATTTTAATTATTTATTTTTGATAATATTAGCACTATCGTTCTATAAAAGTGTTACTTAAATGAAAATATATATTAATTTTAGTTAAATTATTTGTGTATTTTGATAATTTTAGTTCTATCGTATTATAAAAGTGTAATTATTATATAATAATTTTGTATGATGTATATTAAATTATAAAATATCAAAATAAATACTCATTTTGATATTAAAAATAATAGTTAAATTAAAAGAAGAATTAGTAATATAAAATTAAAAGTAATTCTAAATATTTATTTTTCTTTTATATTCATTTGAAAAAGAGTTTTTTATTGATAAATCATATTCAGCGGTATTCTAACCCAATAAGTCCGTAAAAGAAAATTATAACTGTGTGAGTGATTTTCTGACCACACTGCCGCTTAGTAACCAGCTGGAGAGCACCGGCAGAATAAATGGCACCTGGCTGACCTGTAACAGGAAGAGAAGTCTCCGGCGGTGGTTCAACCACCCGGGGGCACTCCGTCGATCAAGTCAGTATATCTTTCAAAGATAATCAACTGCTAAACTCACAAGCTTAAGCATAAAAAGCATACCTTAGACCCATGGGGGTGTCTATCTTTTATAGCCAACATAAACCTAGTCCCAATAGAAGCCTAACTTCTATGGACTTCCATTCAGTGCTTACTTAGGATTTCACAAGAGATAAAGATAAACTCCCTGAGAGCTTTATCCTTATCTTAGTAAAGTTCCCTCTTTACTCTAGGACTCTTACCCCTTATCCATTTATCTCGGATTCCGATATCTTCGGAGATAACCTCGGCTTTGTCGAGATAACCTCGGCGTCACAACCAAAACACGTGGCACCTCGGCTGACACGTCGGCGTCACCTTGCCACGTGTTGGTATTCAGAAAATACATTCCCACAACTGCCCCCTAGGTTCTATTACCTCGACATTCTGAGGTGATGGAACCTATATCTGTATTTTCTTCCAATAAATTGGCTTAAAATTTGATAGCCGAGATCATTCATTTCAGGCCGACATGTTTTCCCTAAAAAATCAAGATTTTTAAGGACCTTCTTACGCACATGAGCTGTCATGCACTTCAACCCAACTGTTTTAACCACGCGTTTCCCTCTTACTGGTCCGTACACATGACGTGCCTGTTAGCCGCCTTTTTCTTTATGTGCGCCGCTTGACGCCCCCGTTCTTCTAGGCGTATTGATTGCTTTTGCCGCCGTTTCTGTTTAATCAAAACCTTTTCCCCTTTTTTCCGTCTCTTCACTTTTTCATTCGAATCTCCTGCTATCTCTCTCTAGCTTTCGAAACCCTCCATTGCTCAAGCTTTCAAAGCTCTACAACCTTCTCCGTTCACCCCTTCCGGTGAGATTTCCACCAGTCTTCTGCTCCTGCGACCGTCGTAGGACATCGGCAAATCCCTTTCCGACTTCCCTTTTTCTGGTAAGCTACTGTTCTTTTCGTTTTCAATTCCCTGATGTTTCTTCTTTTTTTACTGTCGCCATTACTGTACTGTTTCAAGCTTTTTTAATTCATAAATCGTACATCTGAATGCATTCATCCATGATTTTGCCTTTGCCCACATTTTGAACACACGCACTGTTTCGCCACTTCTTTGCACTTTTGCCACTGTTCTTGGCCATGTACTCTTGTATTCTTCATGTTCTTGATAACTCATCTCAATTCTTGTTTCTGAAACTTCGTTTTTATTTTCTGTTTTTTGCATCTTTTCCAAATTCTTGCTTTCATTCTGTGTTTCCATAGATTTAGGTCTGGGATTTGTCTGTAGAACCCATAACTTAGGAAAAAACTAAAACCTGCACCTAACTTTTTGTTTTCTGAGGTCCCAATAGCCTTTCAAAAACATCTTCTGAGACCCACCTTCTAAGATTAAGCCGATATCATGGGTATGTGGGAACATAGGGTAAACACCCCCTCCAAACTAGAATACTTTAGACATGAGTTTGAGATCCCAGCTGACGTCCATTTGAGGTTGGCTGGGGATGATGACTCCATCATGTCCACTGCCGACTCCATGCCTTTCCCCGTAGTCACCTTTATCGAGTGTAGACTTGGGCTTCCATTAAACATTCTGTTTCGTGAGGTTCTCCATTACTATAAGTTGAACCCTATGCAACTGGCCATCAATTCTTACTGAGTGATCAATGGTATTATAACCCTAGCTAAACAGGAAAACCCTAGGATCACCCTTGCCGACATCCAATATTGCTATACCATGTGTGGCCTTAACTTGAAAGAAAAAGGCTACATTTATTACCTTAAGCCGAGGTCCACAAAATTCAAAATTGTAGCCGACCTCCCAGACTCCAACAAGGGAGCTGGTGACGATTATTTCATTACCTCGGGGAACTGGGAGTTCGCCCCAGATGAAGACCTCCATCTCTTCCCTCTCCCACGATCAATCTTTATAGAGGGTAATGTTAAGAGCCCTGCATTCATACTTGTTTTACTTTTAAAGTCTTGTATACTTTATCTGTTTCCTAATGTCTG